ATTTTGCTCCAAAGCAAAACTATGGAGACTTCTAAAGGGATCAGAAGTAAAGGGGCTCAGGGGCAAAAAATGGAAGGATGAATAGGTGGAGTACAGAGGATTCTTAGGGCAATGAAACTATTCTGTATGATACTATAATGGCAGATACATATTATGCATTTGTCAAAAACCATAGAACTGCACGACAAAAAGTGTACTTTTAATGTAAACTAAGTACTTCAATCAAGAATTATATATTAATATTGGTTCATTAATTATTACAAATATACCACACTGATAAAAGATGCTAATAATAGGGGAAACTGTGTACAAGGCACAGAAGGTATATGGGAAATCTCTGTAATAACTACCTAATTTTTCTGTCAATGTAAAATTATCCTAAAAAATGAAATGTATATGTATAAAAAATTGAGCACCGACATCAACAAAATGTAAATTAAAACCATCCTGAGGTGCCTCTAGACTCCATCTGAATGGCTAAAATTACAAAGACTGACAATATCAAGTGTAGTCAATGATAGACAAGCAAATGGAAATCTCACATATTGCTGACAGGAGTGTGAAATCATACAACCATTCTGGAAAACAGTTTGGCATTTTTTCTTATAAAGTTAAACATATATCACATAACACAAAATGTCTACTAGGTATTTACCTAGGAGAACGAAAATGTATACCCACTCAAAGCCTTGTACACCAGTGGTCATAGCAGTTTTATTTATAACAACAAAAAATTGTGCTTTAATCCCTCTCTTTAAGTTCAGTAATACTCTGCTTCGCTCAACAGTGCCCTGAACTGGCACTTTGGAGAAGGAAGGAAACTTCTGCCCACAAAGACAAACAGTCCAGCCAGGCAGAGGACGTTCACAGGAGCTGAGGGATCTTCAGGAAGCGGACTGAGAAGAATGTAAGTCTTCTGTATGGACAAGGCTCTGTATTGGTTACTCAGGGATGCCTTAAAGTATTATAGATTGAGGGGCTTAAACAGCACGAAGTGATAGCCTCAGTCTGAAGGCCGGAAGTCTGAAATCAGGGTTTATCAGGGCTGGTTCATTCCGAGGCCCCTGAGGGAAGAATCTGCCTCGGGCCTCTCCCCTTGGCTTGTAGCTGACTGTCTTTGCCCCAAGCCTTCACATCACCTTCCCCCTGTGAGTGTCTGTGTGCAAATTTCCCCTTTTTATAAGGACACCAGTCATACTGGATTAACGTCCATCCTAATGACCTCATTTTAACTTGGTCACCTCTGTGAAGGCTCTGTCTCCAAGCAAGGTCACATTGCAAGGCAGTGGGGGTTAGTTGAATTTCACAGTATGAATCTAGGTTGGAACAATAACTGGTTTGAACCATTTATTTTTTAAGTCACGTAGAGGGTAACCAGATAATGTAAAACTGGCCTCAGGACAGTCACCCGGTCACCTTGGCTTCAGATTAATGGGACCCAGGAGCTGTGGGATAGTCTGCCCCGCCCCTTGGGAATATTGAGCCCAACTCAATTTGAGTTTCATCACCCAAACAAATGCTGATGTTTCACTATTGCTCTTTAATTCTCAGAGAAAGGCAAGGGAACCTAGCTTTTCTGTGGAAATATTTTTCTGCGTGATGCTCTTTTTATTTTCTGAATCGTTTTTATTGTGGTAAATACACATAATATTAAATTTACCCTCTTAACCATTTTAAGTGTACACTTAAGTCATATTAAGCACATTCATATTGTCCATCTCCAGAACTCTTTATATCTTGCAAGACTGAAAATCTGTACCCATTAAACACTAACTCCCCCTGACCCATCCCCCCAAGCCCCAGCCACCACCATTCTTTCTTCCATCTCACCTTTCCCCTCACACCCCAGCCTCTGGTAACCACCATTCTACTCTCTCTTACTACGAGTTTAGTGTTTTGTTTTAGATTTCACACATAAGTGAGATCATGCAATATCTGTCTTTCGGTGTCTGGCTTATTTCATTTATCTTCCAGGTTCATCCATGTTGTCACAAATGTCAGGACTTCCTTCTTTTTTATGGCTGAATAATATTCCACTGTATATTGGACAGAGCCCATTTCCTTTATCCACTCATCTGATAGACACTTAGATTATTTCCATGTCTTGGCTATTATGAATAAGGCTGCAATGAACATGGGAGAACAGATGGTCTCTTCAATTTCAACCCAGGAGTCAGGGGGCTTGATGGCCTCTGCGTAAGCTCACTGTCTCACCTCTAGGGAAGCAGATGTTGTCCCTTTCCTACAGTTAAGGAAAATGAAGCTCAGTGAGATTAAGTATCTTGCCCAAATTGTCCAAGCAGTTACTGAATCACAGATAATAAGAGAGAGACTTAACTCCAGGCCTTTCTGACTCCAGTGCCCATAACATCTAGCTATTTAACACATACACAAGCATGTAAATGAAACACATTCTAAAATCATTCTTCCCAATTTATGTATACAAAGCTGTGTTACCTGACATAATCCAGGATGTATCCTCTGAACAGAAAGTTTAGAGGAGATAGCATTAGAAGAGAGTTCTAGGTAACTCCAAGAACTTTGGACACTTGATGGAAAAAATATTATGGATTACATGAACCTATATCCATATAAATTGTAGAAATTATGTGATTTGCTTTTTGAGGTAAGGAAACCAGGGAAACATGTTTCATGTGTTGGAAAGAAAATAGCAGTCAGTGGCATGTGGGGGGCTACATGAGACCTGCTCTCAAGAATCTCGGGAAGCCTCCTCCATTCTTTGATACAAACAACTGAAGCTCCTTCAGTTTCTAGGCCATGCAATGCAGCAATGAGCTCCTCCCTCGGGCGCTGATTGCGCCCCCTGCTCCAGGGGGCTGAGATGGAACCTGGGGAAGAGAGAAAAATAAGCCATTTATACTGCAATGTGGCACTCAGAATCATTGATATAATACTGCAGCATGGTGTGATTAAAGCAGGTAATTATGCAGAGTGTAGGGACCTATTTCTTATCACCATCGCATCAGATTTAATTTCACTAATCTAAGCTTTTTGGAAGGGAAAGAGAAAAGCTTTGCAGTAGCTCCCCTTCCTGGTGCTGTTCAGAAATAACAATTGTGCGGCCACATCTCCACAATGCAGGCAGCTCCACGGGCTGGGGCGCAGCACTAATGAGCCTGGGTCAAGAGGTCACTCCTCCTTGGAGGCGGGCCTCTAGCCTCGCTCGGCCCCTGGTGACAGAAGGGGCCCTAACCTCAGTCCCTTTCATCTCACATATGGGGCTTGGGGTGGGGGGCGGGGGTGGGTGAATAAATCTTCCACTGGAGATGATATTGCATTGCTAAACATAGTCTGAACAACAAATCTTCTGCAATGAGATTTGTGTAAATTAGGATCATCGACTGGTTTTCCTGTAAGTTCTCTGAGCTCCCAGTGGAACTGTAAGATCCTGATTCAGCCCCTCACCATTTTCTATTGGTGTGGCTCTCTATCAAGACACGAGGATTTACTTGCTGGTGCGAAGAAGCTTACAGTTCATCTGGTGGTTAGGATTTAACGTCAGGATATCAGGGATTTGGGTTTCATGCTGGTTGCAGGGCTGGATTACCACAGAGAAGAAATGGGCACATGCCCACTTGGAAAGATTCTGTCCTTTTGAACAGTTCCTGTCTATTCAAAGGCACCCAGGAGACGTTATGCGGAGTCTAGATATCACAGATATTTCCTGGCTCTACTTTTGAGAAGTCACAGAGAATCACACATGCAACTTCGAATACCATCTGAGCTCTGTGCATCTTTGAGCAATGATGTATGAGGTGGAAAAATTATAAAAGGAATGTTGAAAAATAAGCCTATTTAAATGTTATACTGAACTCATTAGCTATTCAAACTAAATGTTTCGCTATTAAAATTTGTTCAAGCATTATTAAAGTCTGGCAATAAACACATCATAAACTACATTTTCAAATGTCACATCAGGAGAAGTTGGATGAAATCAATTAGGGAGGGAAGTATAGAAAGAAAGGTTAACTTCTACTGTCTTCTAAGTTTTGCAAAAATATTTTCCACTGACCTTCTAAAAGTTGGCAAACTTCCACTATAAAATAGGAAAACTTC